ACTCTCATACTTCGGACATATTGTCAGGAGGGAACAGTCATTGGAGAAGGATATCATGCTTAGTAAGATGGAGGGTCGGAGAAAAAGAGGAAGACCCCCAACAAGATGGATCAGCTAGGTGGCATCATTGATGGACTCAAGTGTGGTCAGCCCAGGATCGGACATTGTTTCGTTCTGCTGTGCATGGTGTCAATAGGAGTTGGTTCAGACTCGATGGCACCTGACAACAACAACACAGGCAAAACAGCAGAATGGAGGGAATAATGAGTAAACTTAAAACAAAGATAACAGAAATGACCTAGTCTGAACAACAGAAAGCAAATAGCCAGATTTAATATAACATTTATGTCATCAGAGGCACAGTAGGAAAAAAGAAGATGGGACTAATTACTATTTGACAAAATAATGATGAAATGTTCCTAAATTTAGCAAAAGACAGAAGCCTACAGCATTGAGAGCTGAGTGAACCCCAACAAGACAAACCTTAACTTATCTGCACCAAGACATCATATCATAGTCAAACTTTTGAACACTAGTGACAAAGGGGGGAAAAAAATGTTAAAACTAATGAGAGAAACAACACTTACCTAGAGAGGAAAGCAATTCAAATGACAGTGGATGTCTCATCATAAGATATGAAAACCTGAAGGAAATATCACATTTTCCAAGTGGATGTCTCATCATAAGATATGAAAACCTGAAGGAAATATCACATTTTCCAAGTGCTTAAAAAAAAGAATAATCAACCCAGAATCCTAGGTCCAGCAAAATATCCTTTAGGAATAGAGGGGAAATCAACACATTTTCAAATGAAAGCAAACTAAGAATTTGTCATCTTAATAGCTACCTTAATGGAATGACTAAAGGAAATTCTCTAAATAGACAGGAAATGATAAAAGGAAAGATCTTGCAAAAAAGAACAATGTAAAAGTAAAAATATGAATAAATAGGGTTTCCTTTTCCTCTGGAGTTTCTAAATTCTTTTATGATTAAAGCAAAAATTATAACAGTGTTTAATGGAATTCTTAATGTATATATGGGAAATATTTAAAATATTACATTTTAAATTGCAAAGGGTAAAGCTAAGTAAAGGAGTCCTGCTGTGGCACTGTTGGTTAATGCACTGGACTGCAAAAGTAGATTTGAACCTCAAGGTCAGCAGTTCAAGCTCACCAGCTGCTCCTCGGAAACCCTATAGGGGCGCTAC